CATACAATAGTGTAGGGATGTCCGGAGGAGGTCGAATTTGCACTCTGAGCCCAAAGTAATTATTTTCATGGCTAGCTGCAAACTCTGACGGTATCCAAAAGAGGCCGGTGGGATATTCGGTGGCCAAGTCACTCTGGTTTTTTATACACTTATGGAGGCACTAGGGTTATGGAGGCGGGATGTAGAGGCGGATCAAAGGAATTGGAGCGTGGGGTATCATAGTAGTTGATTGTTGGACTTGTATTTTGATGCAAACCAGCGGCTACAAACTTAGCTTTCCCTTGAAACCAGAGGCTACAAAGTACGGGTTGCAATAAACAACGAAGAAAACGTTCATACTAATCACCGCCAATGAATGCCGTGCAATCCTTGCAATTCGAGCTTCAACATGGGATTTTTCGAGTTCGATGATCCGAGCCTAGAGGAAGAAAGGGGCTATCGTGTTGCACTTTGCTTCTGTTTCCCTGTTTTGCTGGTCTCAGGTGTTCTCACGCATTCTTTTCGCGGCATTGAACGACGCCACAATCAGACTGTCAATGGGAAATGAAGGGATAATGAAGTGCCGGGCTTAAACCGATGCTCGACCATGATGCGTGGGTCGGTGAACAACCACGGAGAGACTCAGGATGGCACGCTACCTCTGGAGGCTCAAGCAAGCCAACACACCGCAGTAGAATTATGAAATGAAAAAATGACGGACCTCACGCTTAGACCGCAAGCCTAAGAAGAGTCGGGGAGTACTAATGGTGTCATTAGGCGGTCGAGCTGACGGATTGATCGATTCCATCGGTATGACGCTGTAATCGCTGGCCCTGGGATGGCACTATGTATGGTATTGTAAGTGCGCTTCAGGGTAGAATGAAAGCTAACGACTGCAAGCTTGGAAAGGAATATTCGAATGATCTAAATACTAACTTGACTAGTACTGCTGTTGCATTGAAATTGGTTGTACGTCTGAAGAACTGGAAAGAGAGCAATGATTGAGAAGGTCCTAGCACGGTTCAGAAGGAAACGCGAAAGGAACTCAACTTCACAGATCTTGCAGATTGAGGGGGACGGCTTAGTGATGCGTGTGCGAAGGAAGGTGACGGCTCACAAGTTGAACCTGTCTTTTGAGCGGCTGTTGAACGGCTGATCGGGGAGGTTGAAATGAAAAACATGGGGACTCGGAGCAAATGAATCGGAGAAATGGTGACAGGACTAGGCCAGCCGCTGAGATCTAGTGCTGATCCCTAATACTATGTAGGGGATTCCAGACTTTACAGCCGCAGCACGAGGACCTGTCGACGGAACTAGGGCAGGTTTGTCAGTCATCGTCCGAATGAGACTGGTTACCAGTCCACGTTCGAATGGCTGATGCCATCCGACAAGAGTTTTAAAGACAGCAGTGATTGAGATCATATCAGAGGGCATTCCCGAAAGGAAACATCTGCCAGATTCTTACAGTTCATTTCAGCGTTGCTAGATGTGTATATATATGACTCTCAACGGTGATGCGTACATCTATTTGCCCTCTGCCCATTGTAAGAACCCAAATGCGGTTACTTACCTGTAGCACAGCCAACGATATATTTATTTCCGTCTACAGGGATACGGATGAAGCGACCTGGACTAGTCCGCAATCTTAGCGTTTTATCTTATGCCTAGAACAGGGCGGTGGCTAAAGGGTGTTATCACCTTCGTTTGGTCTTGGTGTCGACCGTGTCGTGAGCCTCAGTCTTATAATTCCATGCCTGAATTTTGATTCTCGCAGTTTGAGGTCAACATCGTCACGCCGGATGGGATCCTGCGGACCGCCAACGCCTGCCAAAATACTGACCTTTTCTGGGCACTGCCCGGCGGTGGAAGCGGGACCTTTGGTGTTGTCATTGAATCCACGCATCTCGTTGAGCAGCGCATCCCTATTCAAGTGTATGTATTTCTTGTGTGCTGAATGTGTGACTGACAGCTCCACGACATTCTCTCACAGAATCCATAGGAACCTCCAAGAACATTTCGAGATTCTGGTGAACAGGCTGGGGAGAGCATTTCAACCGCGCGAGTCGCACATCTATATAAGAATTGATGGTTGAGTTGTATTTCATTCCGAGAATAGAGAGGGAAACTACTTTGAGATGGTCTCATTAGAACGTTGGAAACGTTCACCAACATGGCGAATTGAAAGGCCCGTAACACAGGTGTAAAGGAAGATGGCAACCTGTTCTTCTAGAGTGACATTTTTTGAGTCCCTCAATCCAGATGTTGCTCGAAGAGTGGCTACAAGTGCAAGGAAGACATGTAGTCTCATGCCAAGCTCGCACTTTATTCGATCAGGATGCCCTTCAATCAACTCTTCGACCCAAGCTTGGCCGGCAAAGCAGATGTATGGTATTCCTGTTTCCAGTACAAGGGGGATGCATAGAGGATCACAGCGCGGTAGATCATATGCCAAAAAAAGAATGCAGCAATGATCAAGCGCTGCTGTACATCGCGCAGATTTCTGGGAGGGGGCATTGGCGCAGGAGACGTGTTGGAGACGCGTCGGAAATTTGCTGTCACGCTGGATCACGCCATTGATTACAAATATTCTCACACTACCGGAAGAGGAAAATGGAAACTGGAAACAGAAACAGAAACTCGCAGCCGAACAGGCTCTAAGATTTTGAAGACCTTATCCAGTGAACTTTTGCGGTGACGGGTGACATGACGTGAACAAACGGTCGAAATAGTACAGTACTTGATGATGCCAGTGAGCAGTAATAGTCCTGTTGACGATAGGTTCAGGTGTGGCACCCCGGAAAGATAAATGCTGCGCCAGGCCTGAGCTCGGAGGCTCTCGGAGGACGTGATGGTTCGGACAAAGGTTTGTTTGATCCCATCACGGTGTTGGTTGCGGCTGTTTACCTGCAGCTTCCCGAGCCTACTCACCGCCGACGTCATGTCTCGCACTACTCCACTGTGTGGCCGTATAAGAGGCTGCTTTACTCGTCAGCATGCGGCTGAATATACTTTTTACTTTGGGCTCGAAACCTCTGCTGTGCAACTCGAATTCTACTCGAAAGACTTGGACCCATCCAAAACTTGTTCTCGTCTCTTGAATCTATTGCTTTCTACCTCTGGAAATAAACCCTCGTATATACTGGAAATAATCTAGGATGACGGATATCCATCCCTCCCCGCCCAATTTGGTCCCTACCATTTCGTCTGGCGCGCTCCCGCAAACGCCAGCGAGCGAGTGGGCCGAGAACGCGACCGACGTCCTCGGTGGACACGTCACGTACCCTCGTCGGCACCCCCGGCCCCAATGTCCCGGGTGGGTTTCCTGCACATCTGGAGCCAGATGTGCAGCCTGGTGTAGACCAGGCGCCGCAGGATTCGCTCCTTGCGAGCGCGCAGTCGTACATGCCCAGCCTTGCCACCGCGAAGGCGTACCTCCCACAAGCCGTCGCTGCATATCTACGTACGTCTCTCTCTTATGCTGTATCGATTCATGCTCACGCACCTTCCTTAATTAGCGGACTCCACCCCAGCACCCTCTGCATCCGAATCCTCCCTCCCCCCACTGCCCCCCTCATCCGCGTCCTTGTTCTCGGCCCCCCCGCAGCAGGACATCCCCGTCGACGTCCATCACGAATCGTATCGCACCACGTCCTCCGCAGGCGACACCTTCAGCACCACAGCGCACACGGGGCACTCTTCCTCTGCGATCGCGCCACCCTCGCCCTCGTTCCCTTCACCCCCTCCTTCTGCACCCCGCGCAACCTCGGGCCTCCTCCCCTCGCATCCCGGCGTCGCGCGCGAGTCCCCTTCTGTGTCGACCCTTGATTCCGACGCCGCTGCAAACGCAGACGTGGACCTGAGCACCCCGCAGCTCGTCCAATCCCCCATCCTGCTCGCACCCGGAGAGAGCACGGACCTCGCGCTCGCGGCGGAGTCGTCTAGCTCCGCGCCCTCGTCTCTGACGGCGAGTGCGAGCACGACTCAAGAACGAGACCACCCCCGCCCGACCTCAGGTCTCCTCCCATCGCACCCTGGAGTCGCGCCCTCTTCGTCTCTCACGGCGAATGTAAACGCAGTCCCCACCGCCTCACTTGACGGTGTACATCCCACGCCGCACGTCCCCATGCCCGACCCCGCGGCGCTCGGTATCCCCGCTTTCGGTGAAGCTGCCTCGTCGACGTCGACGTCGCTGACGAGCACGCCCTCCCTCGTCCCACCCTCGCTCACAGGCGGGGAGAGCGGGTACGCCGCCTCTTCGGAGAGCGTTCCTACACCTGGGTCGGAGAGCGTCCCTGCGTCTGCTTTGAAGACGCCCGTCCCGACGCCCACCGCACCTACAGACGCATACGGGGGCGCGCACGGTGGTGGTGGAATACAGGGCGGCGCCGCCTTGAATTCGTCGCGGTTAGAGGATAACGTGCCCACCGGAGACTTCACGCCGCGCGTCGAGGGCTCGGCCGCTTTAAACTCCTCCCGCTTCGAGGATAACGTGCCCACCGGAGACTTCACACCGCGTCTCGAAGGACAAGGGAGCGCCGCCTTGAATTCGTCGAGGATGGAGGATAACGTGCCGACGGGCGATATGCTGGTGTCGCCGAACAGGAGCGAGGAGGCGGACGATGATGCGAGCAGTGGCTCAAACTCAGAGAATGCCGTCGACGAGGACGTCGATGCCGACGCAGACGGGGAGGGCAAGAAGAAGAAGAGCAAGAAGACGAAGAAGCCGAAGCTGATGCAGCGGCTCAAAGAGCGGATGCACATCGGCGGGTCGGCGTAGGTGGAGGTGTATGACTTGTGGTCTTTCGCGTGTATGATATGTATATCCCGTGTACAAGTACGTACAGTGTAATGCGAGTCGTATTTTCTGAGTATTTTCTTGGAACAGTAGTATAGTATTAGTGGACTTTCTTTGGATTTCTTCTTCCAAAGAACAAAGGCTTTCGATACGGATTCCCAATAACAAAAGTCGAAAAGGAATCCAGGTCCAGCCTTTCGAGAAAAAAGAAATGGGTCCCAAAATATTCGGACGCTGGGGGTCGAACCCAGGCCTCCCGCTTCAATCGATGCAATGCATTCATATCATGTACAAGCATGCACCGTACACCACGTCCGATGCATTTGTTTGTTTGGGAGTTGGATTAGTGGGTTGGATCTCAACATGATTTGTACAGTGTAATACCAGTTGTATTTCCTTGGAACAGTACTACGAGTGTACATTCTTTCTTCCAAAGTCTTTGCTCTCGTTACAATCGAAAGAGGGATCCACGTCCCACCTCAAAAAAAAAAAAAGAAAAAAAGAAAAAAAGAAAACGCAATGGACCAAGGGGGTACCGTTTTGTGAGAAAAGTACCCTATGCCGATTTCCTGTAGGTAATGAGCCCAAAAGCCCGAAAATCAACATCCGAGATTATTTGGACCAGTGGTTCAAAAGATATGGCCACTTTCTTCCCAAAATAATAAATATTTTTTCTCGATTTTTTTCTGAACAGATCAGGCAGTTCTGCGTCACTTTCGAAAAAAATTCCAAAACCCGAGGAACCAACCACGTGATTTATTACTATATATGGTGTGACAGATTCCCATAAAAGGAGATGTATATTTCGCTAATTATTTTCGAACCGCTGGTCCAAATAATCTCGGATGTTGATTTTCGGGCTTTTGAGCTCATTACCTACAGGAAATCGGCAGAGGGTACTTTTCTCATAAAATGGTACCCCATTGCAATGGACTCTGGACCATTCGGACGCTGGGAGTCGAACCCAGTCCTCCCACCGCAGATTTCCAGAAGCACTCTTCAACACTGTGGGGGCGTGCACCATGCACCACGTCCAATTTATTTAGGTACTTGGATTGGTAAGTAGGTAAGTTTTCAACTCGAGTCCTTTGGGTTTGCGACTCGATTGGCAATAAACACTGGTGAAGTGCGCACTTGAACTCCAATTAATTAAAGGACACGAGGCTTAGGCTGGGAATATTCGAACTCTTGGAAGAGAAAAAACGGCCGGCAAGTTGAAGAAAAGGAAAAGAAGAATAAAAAATGCAGAACTCAGGGCTATTCGGACGCTGGGAGTCGAACCCAGGGCTCCCGCCGCAAACTGCTGCGTAATCTTCCAAACCAGTATGTGGCGGCGTGCACCATGCACCACGTCCGATTTATTCGTTGGTTTGAGAGTTGGATTGATGGGTAGGTAAGTTTTCAACCTGAGTTCCTCAGTAGGTTTGCGACCCGATTAGCAATAAACACCCAGTGAACCGCGCAATGCGCATGCATCCTCCGAGCCTGCCTTTTGAGTTGAATCCCGATTGATTAGGATGACAATGCCCGGGGCTGGGGGATATTCTTGGAAGAGATAAAATGGCCGGCAGCTTGAAGAAAAAGGAAAAGAAAAGAAAAATGCCGTCCCAAAGTTCAGACGCCGGGGGTCGAACCCAGTCCTCCCGCTTCAACCACAGATGCTGATTGTATGCGGGCGTGCACCATGCACCACGTCCAGTTTATTTGTTGGGTTTGGTGGTTGGATTAGTGGGAGACATTATTCAACATGAACTTGGTGTAGGACCAGATGAACTTGGAAGATGAAATAATGTGTGTATCTTCTCAATTCTTGGTGCGCATCTACGTATCAACCATGTGTTACTTATGAGACTTGACGGGGAACCAACGGGGAACACTTATTTAGTGGCTTCGGTAGTTGGATTCGTGGGCTAGGTTATTTGACTAAACATGAATTTGGCGCAGGACCAAATCTTGACGCGCACCTACTTAGCCAACTGCATATCCATTGACACGATGAGGCAGACAGATCGTGAGGAAGACTGTTCTTCATGTTCAACAGTCAAAAAGCGAAGAAAAGAAAAGAAAAACAGATGAGGAACTCAAAGGGCATTCGGACGCCGGGAATCGAACCCAGTCCGCCCACTACAACAAGCACGCGCGAGAAATATCGTAAGCGGGTGAACGCTGCGCACCGCAGCCGAGTTAGTTATTGGTTGGATTGATGAAATTATAATAATTAATTATTTGACTGAGCATGAATGGGGCCGCGGACTAAATGAAACCTTTTGTGCATCCTCTTGAATCCCACTTCTACTCCTGCTTCTCCTGGCCCGATTATCAAGCCTGATCGTGGAGAACACTAGTACTGTTTTGTAAGTCAGAAGAAGAAGAAGAGGAGCAAAAAAATTGTCAGCACTCTTGTGTATTTGAATGCTGGGAATCATTCTGAGGTAGATAGGTGGCAAGTCATATTTCAACCTGAATTAGCTGCGCAACCCAATTGACAATAATCACTTGGTGGAACTGCGAAATGCATCCTCTTGAACTTGGATTTCGATTAGCACGACGGGAGGTAATGAATGGGTCATATCAGAGTGAGTCCTCGTTCTCGGCCAGAGTAGATACATGCAACGTGTAAAATAACCTCAAGTCGAAAATTCAGGTCAATACAGCTAGTATCTGTCAATCCCTACCCAACAGCCTGGCGGTTACCACGTAGGAATACTGTCCACATAAACCCCCTGTCCCACATTTGGCAATACACGTACTTCAAGTTGAACCTGAACCCTCTCCATCCGAGCCTGATCCCCTTCCCCGCCAGAGCCTGAATCCGATCCTGTTCCACCAGCGGAACCCGAACCCTCTCCATCCGAGCCTGATCCCCCTCCCCCGCCAGAGCCTGAATCCGATCCTTTTCCACCAGCGGACCCCGAACCCTCTCTATCCGAGCCTGATCCCCTTCCCGAACTGGCCTGAGAGCCTGAGCCCAATCCTTTCCCACTGGAACCCGAACTTTCCGAACCTCCACCACCCCCACCGCAGAAAGGACAGTCCTTATCGCCTGCCGGCACCTCTCCATTATAGCAATCGTTGCATGATGCCTCCGAATCAAAGCCGTCTGAGTCTGATTCAGAGCCATCATCTGCAATATTGCGCACTCGTCGCTTCCCCCCGCCACCACAACGACCGCATTTCACCCAGTCCTGAACTGTACCCTGGCCTTTGCAGACAGGGCATGCCATTTTAACAACGAGTCTGGATATATTGGACCAGTCAGCCAAGGCCACCTGCGTACTGGCAGTTGTGAAATGAAACAGCATGCTCACGTGTGTTTAAGTTGGTAGAGTCAAGTGCAACTTGAGTTTATGGATGACTGTGTGCGGTGAAGGGGGGGCACCGGAAGAATTTTGCTGCCCTTCTCCCTCTTTATAGAGCTGCGGGAGTCCAAAGCGTTTTAACCCCACTTTTATTTGATCAGCTCCCATGGTGGATCCGTCATGGGCCCAAACTTGCCCCCAATCAGGTCCTGAGGACTAAAGAAGTATGTAATTACCAGAAATACCATTGACAGTTCACCCAGTGCGCTGATAGATATCTGATTCCTGGCCATCTTTTTTTTTGTATAGGAAGACCAGATCCTGCGGGAGCGATACATCGCACTCTCTAATGAAAGAGAAAGGGCGAGGTATCAAACACTCTGATGAGAAGGGCTGACGATCCATCGTCTTAGAAACCTTTCCTTGTTCAGTACATGATCAGTTAGAGTGGACTACACCCATTGAGGCTCGCTGTCGTCGTTAACTTGATTCCAAATATCCGCATTTGTTCGGAAAATGACCTAATCTTGGTGGCGGGCTACGTAGGGAGTTTCTGGCCGTAGGTCAGAGATAATTAAGTAATACTCGAAAAGACTGGAGTTACAGAGGTCCCTGTCAGAGAAAAATTAGCCACCGTGAAAGGCGGAATGAATCAGTGTTAGATAAATCTATAAGAGGCAGGGGAAAGCAATTCTCTTACCGCCTATTCGGACGGCAGGAATCGAGCCGTGCTCCTCGCATAACCACCCACGTTCCTGTCAGTACAAGCGGGCATGCGTCATACACCACATCCGAGGTCCTCTCTGACCTTGGTGGCGAGCTACGAAGGTCAGTCTCCAGGCCTGAGTCAGCAACGGAGACGATACTTGCTCACGAATGTCGTTCTGATACGAGTTGCCCAGTGCCTACCCGTAAATTGCCTGAAGAGAGAGAGAGAGAAATAGAAGACGAACCGACATAGGCGGCGCTCCTCAACAAATCACTTTCAAGGTGGTCGCTGAAAAAGTGACAGAAGGGCGGAATTCGGACGCCAGGAGTCGAAACCGCATATTGTTGGCATATTGGCAACATATTGGCATCACACGGAGTGTTCCCGCAGCGCAGCGGGAACGGTTTTTTTGAGGTGAATTTTTTGAAAATTAACTCTGTTCCCGCAGCGCGGCGGGAACGGTTTTTGGAGAATTTTTTGAGGTGAATTTTTTGGAAATTAATTCCGTTCCCACAGCGGCGGGAACGGTTTTGTTTTTGGGGAATTTTTTGAGGTGAATTTTTTTGGAAATTAATTCCGTTCCCACAGCGTGGCGGGAACGGTTTTTGGAGAATATTTTGAGGTGAATTTTTGGAAATTAATTCCGTTCCCACAGCGCGGCGGGAAAGAGCTGGCGCGCGGAATAGTCCTAGGCCAAGTACAATGTCTGTATTTGACAAAGATGCAATCTCAACTGGGTCTTCAAGCTCATTGCTCGAGGAATGAAAAGTTACAGCGCCCAATTTCACAGTCAAGGAGAGGGACATGTTGATGGTTCGAGATTCACTGCGTTCCGAGGGGTCGTCGGCCTAAATGGGCCGACCAGCTGTCTGCATTGGCCGAGTGACTTCGCCTCGATTTGTTGCTTACTGCGATGCCTTTGTCTGATTGACCTCTCTCCCAGTGATCTCCAACCTTTCGATAATTCATAACAACCCATATTTCTCCACAAACTCGCTGATAATGTCCTCACAGGGTTTCACCGTATTCGCGCTCGCGTTCATATACTTACTCCTCGAGCCTGATAGATAACGCTGCCGTTGGGACTGACCTAGACGCTGCGCGTGCTTCCGCAAAGCGGAGTAAGCAGCAGCGGGCACCAGTCTCGGCGTCTCGGCGTTCGGTTATGGGCCGAATCATCCGGTTGATCTCACTGCTGCGGCCAACTATATCGCGAACTACGTCCTCAAGTATGATTTGGATGGTGTGGATGTGGCTGCTTATTCTTTCGCGCGTTTTTTCTTGAATCATCACTTTAAATTACGAGTTGA